TCTCTAAAATAAATAAATAACTCTTTTAAAAAAACCCATAGTGTAAAGTGATGATAAAAGTAATGACATAAAAGTGAGGTTAACACTAACCAATCCACAAAATGCATACATAACGTTAAGAGCAAATATTACTTAAGATAAGGTAAGAAAATATAAATCTGTAAAACTCAAGCTTAAAAATGCTTAATTATTGGGGCACCTGGGTGGCTCAGTGGGTTAAGCCTCTGCCTTCAGCTCAGGTCATGATCCCAGAGTCCTGGGATCGAGTCCCACATTGGGCTCTCTGCTTGGCTGGGGGCCTGCTTCCTCCTCTCTCTCCCTTCCTGCCTCTCTGCCTACTTGCAATCTCTGTCAAATAATTAAATAAGATCTTTAAAAAAAAAAAAAAGCTTAATTATTATTTTTGAAGATTCTGGTTTCTGATAGATACTATTAGAAAAGGAAGTTAATAGGTATCTTTCATAAACTTCAGGTGACATACTTTATTTCCCAGTTGCTTTACTAAATACTTGAGAGGCAAAATTAATATTGTTATCTTCTTTTAAAAGTTTGAAATGTAGCTTGAGAACCTAAGTAACAAAGAAGTAGGGACGGGGGAAAGAGACAGAAGGAAATTAACATTAATTGGGTACCTATTCTGGGTTAGGGCTCCAATCATAATACAACCTTGGGAAACAGATATTGCTATTTCCATTTTACAGATGAAAAGAGAGAGCTTAACCACCATAAATAATGTGTTCCTGGTCACATAGATAATAAAGAGTAGAATAAGCTATGACCTAAATCTCTGATTCTATATCCTCTAATACAAAAAAAAAAAAAAAAAATCAGAAGTATCTTAATTCATCTGGCATTTTGGTCATCTTAAATTAAATAATATACTTTAGAAGAGCACAAAACAAGGAAGACGGCAAGCATCCCTCCAGGAGCTTACAGTTAAAGAAAATGTGCCTGTGCGCACACAGTGAAGAAATACATTGTAGTGATTAATCCCTTCTTGAGGGAGGCCATCCGTAAGTGATATGGGAGCGGCTCCATGTGGCTTCAGCAGTTCAGAAAGGCTTTATGAAAGATGCAAGATCATAGCTGGATCCTGGTGATGGAGAATGTTGAACAGGTGTAATGAAAGGTCCTCCAGGACAGGGAAAAGCAGAGGTAAGGGAAGAGGTACATGAAGAGGCCAGCAGGACGGCTTCAAAAAGTAAAGGACTAAGTAAGTGGAAACAAGCCAAGCAAGTGTCCATCAACTGACAAATGAATAAGCAAAATGGGATATACCCACACCACGTAATACTATTCAACAATAAAAAGAAAGGACTGACACCTGCTACAACATGGGTGAGCCTTGAGAACATTATGCTAAATGAAAAAAGTCAGTCACAAAAGGCCACATACTGTATAATGTCATTTACATGAAATGTCCAGAGAATAAGCAAATCCATAGAGACAGGAAGTAGACTAATGATTCCCAAAGGCTGGAACGGGCGGAAAGAAGTGAGGAGTGACTGCTTATAGGCACAGGGTTTCTTTGGGGGATGATGAAAATGTTCTCAAATTGATTGTGGCGATCGTTGCACAACTCTGTGAACACGCGAAAATCCACTGAACTGTACACTTTAAATGGGTGAAGTGTATGGCAAATGAACTACATCTCAATGAAGCCATTCAAAAAAAAAAAAAAAAAAAGTTGAGGGCCTGAGGCTAAGATGGAGTCCCTTATGCCAAGTTTGAGGGTCTGGAATTTATGTGGTAGGCAATTAGAGATATGTAAGTAAAGACTTAACCTAATGAAAGCCCAGTATACAAACTTAGGGCTCTTCTCTAACAAAATTATTCACATATTTTCAGTACATTCCTAAAATATATGCCCAAATCACAAAAATGAAAGAGAACAGGAAAAAGATGATGTGATCGGATTTTGACGAAGCCACAAGCTGTAACTATTAGGAAAGCTGTTTTGCTTCAGCACTAAATGGGTGTATCAGCACCGTATTTAGGCAAAACCACAAATTCATCTGTGTCGTGTCTTCAAATACCGTAATGGTCTAAGCTTAATTATGGAAACTGCATTAACAATTGATCTGCCATATTTTAGAGTGAGATAATGAACTGTGTAATTTGTTTTTCATTGGATGACAGTACTCTACAGATAATGTTTTATATATTAGATTCAATTTAAATGCTATCAGAACCTCCACTGAGATAAAGCATGTGTGTGGCAAACACATTTGTCTGAATTCTAATTTAACCTAAGATTCCAAAAGAGTTTTACTATACAAAATAAGAAAACTAAAGAGACAAATCTGACATTCAAAGATGGGGGGGAATCTGGATATTAAGTAATCAATACAAAGGAAAAGGCAAAGCATTTAAAAATTAATCTGAAAATCAAAGAAAAAAAAAAAAGCAGGGGGCACCTGGATGACTCAGTGGGTTGACATTAGACTATTGGTTTCGGCTGAGGTCATGATCTCAGGGTCCTGGGACCTAACTCCACAGGCTCTGTGCTCCATGCTCAGTCCCTCTCTCTCCCCCTCTGTTCCTCTTCCTCTCTTTCTCCCCCCACCCGGATCCTGTGCTCTCTCTCTCTCTCTCTCTCTCTAATAAATAAATAAAATCTTAAAAAAAAAAAAGGCGGGGGAACAGGTCTCAGTATGAGGTTCTATAGCATAGCATTGGGAAGTACAATGAAAAAAAAAAAAAGGAACAGAGTACATTTAAAATAAAAGGCTCAGTATTAAACAGCAGAAGAGTCTGCAACAGAGGCCAAGTTTGGAATCCATCTATAAGGCATTCCCACACCTTCCCTGGAATCCCAGGGAAGAAAGAACCTTTCAGACAGTGTGCATATGTTATCCCTGCAGAAGCTGGCCTAAAAGTGAAATCCCCCTTTCCCCCAGGAGGTGGTGAAATGGTAGGAATACAAAGAACTCCGCCAGAGAACCCATACACAACCAAACTTGTATTCCTGGGTCACCTTGCAAACCTCCTTCAAGGTAGACGAGCCACAAGAAACTAAAGGAGATACCAGATCTCTTTGAAAACTCCCGTCTAAGAATGAGAGGACCCATCTGTCTCTGAAGGACTTTGTAAATTCCAGAAGTGGATGAAAATTGTGTTGTGTGTCTGAGAAATATAGGCAACTTAGATGACCTGGTTCACTAACAAACAATAAAAGCAAAATAGTAAACAAGTAAGCTCTCCTAAAAAAGAATTCTTGTCACTGATATCTAGAATAAGGTAATAAGGTATCTGCTGTCACAAGTAAGTAGAGCAAGACTCTTCATTACCTAATTGTAAGCCAGAGTTTATGCGAAAGAAGAGAATTCAGTAGGAGTATCCAGTAAGAACTTACTACAAATCATTAACTGCTGTATGTTAAAAGAAACTTATCCAAACTCTCATGAATTGTCTACCTACTCCAAACAAAAGAACTCAGGGAAAAGGCATAAGTTTACAACCATTGTTCACCATATTGGATGTGTTAATTACTAAGGAATAAAGTACTTCAAATATAACAAAAGAGGTTAAACACTGAATTATTCTCTATGTAAACATCAAAAACATATTACTACTAATTTATACATAAATAAAAGTTTTTTTTTAAACAAATAGGGAGAAATAATGATAGCATGCTACCCAAGATCACCAAAGGAGGGTAAATAACACCAACACAAGATCTAATACCCAGAAACATGTTCAAGTGATAGAATTATTAGAATGGTCTAAATTATAAGCATGCTACAATTATGACTAAACTAAGAACAGAAACCCAAGAAGCCATGAATAGGCTAAAAAATAATTAAGAGAATGGAAGCCATGGGGAGGGTTTTTTTTTTGTTTTTTTTTTTTACAGAATCCTCCACTGAAGAACATGGAACCAGAAGCATGACCTATAAATTAGGAGAACAAGAAACTTGCCAGCGCCTGAAAATGGCAAAGCTGACCTAAGCTAAGGAAACAAGGAAGATAAATATCTCAGCAGGTAAATAACACCAGTTCTCAAAATCTGTTCCAAAAAACAAAAGTGAAAACTAATTGGCCAGAGGGAAAAGCATGTGGCTATAAGTTAAAAAAATTTTTTTAGGACGCCTGGGTGGCTCAGTTGGTTAAGCTGCTGCCTTCGGCTCAGGTCATGATCCCAGCGTCCTGGGATCGAGTCCCGCATCGGGCTCCTTGTTCTGTGGGGAGCCTGCTTCTCCCTCTGCCTCTGCCTGCCACTCTGTCTGCCTGTGCTCGTTCTCTCTCCCTCTCTCTCTCTGACAAATAAATAAATAAAATCTTTAAAAAAAAAAAAAAAAAAAAAAAATTTTTTTAAACAAATATACACAAAGTACCTTTGGAAAATTTCTGCTTCTGCAGTATTTTCACAGGTAAGCTCATCAATGTTCCCTGCATTAGCTTTTAAGAAGTTAAATCTAAAGATTTTTTAGTTGAGAGAAATTTTATAAATATTTGCAATAACCACCTGCATTAAGCAAATCTGTAGAGCTGTGAGATTAAACGATAGTAGGCTCAATTACATTTAAAATCTTTCAGACAAAATTACAAAGTTTACATAGCAAAACTAATATAAACAGAATATCCTGAACAACAAATTGAGCTACTCGATTTGTGTGGGGTTTTTTCCCGTATAGTAAATAGCATATCAGTTCATATTCTATGATTAACTTAAGTCTCATCTAAACTTGCTGATCTAAGGGAGAACCACCAAAGCTGGAAAATAAAAAAAGAATGAGATCCGATTCAAATCCTTTGCTGTTCTCTTCCTCCTCCCGCTAGAAATATTCTTTAAGTTGGTGGTCTTACTTGATTTCAGCTCTCAAACATGTAAGTCCATACGAAAATCTTAACTTATAATTAAGTGCTATGCATGCCAAAGTACTCCGTTCAAGCGGTTCAGTGAATCTGAACATAACCGTAACGACATTTCACAACGCATTCATCCATGCTGCCACAGGGAACGAGCAACAAATTCACAGAAAGACTTGGAGCAATACCTGAGCAGATAAACAGCCCTTTCAATATCACTGAGGTCTTCATCAACTGTCAATCTTTCTATTTCTTCTGGTGTCTGTTAAGTGTAAAATACAAATTATGCATACAAACGTGGATTAGTCTTGCCGCCCCCCACCCCCAGCCCCCCCAGTGACCCTCCGGGAACCCCATATGAGTAGAGACTAATGTAAAAGTTTCACAATTAAGCAGTATCATTGAAAACTAATCAAGAGGACTCCAGGTGCCGACCTCAACCACAGAGGTCTCCTCGAATTGCTGGGTTGGGGTGGTAAAGTCTGGGGGTTTGGAGGGGTTTTGTTTTGTTTTGTTTTTTCTTTCTTTCTTTCTTTTTTAAACTGTTCTAGCTTGAGAATTACATTGTGGCTTCAGAATATTGACGAACTCGGTTTTATATGCACGTATGAAATACATACGTACTTTTAAATCTCTAATACCCCAAGGCTGTTTCTCCAGCATTTTCCACCCCAGGAAATGCTAGAAGGGGGGATGGAGGCAAACTGCAGCCGTGAGAGAATGAAAAAGACGAAATGTGGAGTGGGGGAAGGGAAGGGAATAAACTCTGGGGCTGGAAGGAAATCAAAGATTCGCGATTTTGCGGCAGGTGGAAGTGAGAAGAGCTCAACCGAGCTTTGGAGAGGACGGCGCGGGGGAGGGGGTGGTCCGCAAACTAGGTTTGCAGGCAGTGAGGGTTGGAGGTTGGGACGAAGATGACTCTGCGGGGTGGGGGAGCGAACTGAAGGTTGACTCCCTCAAGGCGGGGAGTGGGGATCAGGGTCCCAGCTGGAGTCCTGGAGGGGCTGGGAAGAAAGGACGTGCGGTGACTCAGGATGGGGGTGAAGGGTCGAGAGGGCTTTGAAAACCCGTAGTGGGACGACCGTAGCCTGGGTGCTGGGTGGGAGGTGAAGGGAGGCCTGGCGGACGAGGGGGCAGAGACACCCGAGCTTGCTCGGATGGAGGAAGGGGAAAGCGGGATCCGCCGTGTCTCTGGGAGGGGGGTGGGGGCGGAGCTGTGTAGACTGAGGAGTGGTACGGGGTCCGGTGGTGGGGGGGCACTCAGGAGGGGACAAGGCGGCGGCGGCCTCGAGGGGCAGCTCCCGTAGGGCGGAAGGAAGAGGGGCCACGGCCGTCCAGGAGGGGTGGCTCGGGGGACGACGCTGGACCGGCCGTTCCTGGGTGAGGGTTAGGGAAGGGGCCAGTGCGGGGCTGGGCCGGGGGACTAGGGAGCCCAGGGCGTCCGAGGAGCCAGCCCCTCGGCGATGGGGGTCCGAGCTGGGAGAACCGAAGCTGCGTCGAAGCAGGGGCGGGCTTAGGGTGACACGGCGACCGCGGGAGGACTGAGGGTCCAGCCCGACTCCGAGAGGGTCCCGGGCCGCCTCGGGAAGGAGAAGGGGACGCGACGGGGTCGGGGCCCGGGCCAGGCGCCCTGCGGACAGTTGCTCCTCCCCGGGGCGCACCTTGAGGCTCCGGCGGACCGGCCTCTCGATGATGGTGAGCTCCTGCAGGTCCTCCATGTAGCCGAACAGGCTGTTCTGACTGAAATCCATCGCGGCAGCGGCGGGCGGCGGCGGATGCATGGACCGCCGGGCCCCCTCGCCGCCCGGGCCGGAGCGGCCCCGGGATGCCGGACGCTCGCAGCCCAGCGGCCGCCCACCGGCAGGACTTTCTCCCGCTCTCGGCCGCGGGAGCCGGGCGGGAGGGTAGCTGGCGGCGGGAGAAGGAGCGCGGCCGCCGGTGGGGGGGCGGGGCGGGTAAGGCGAGGGGGCGGGGCGAGGCGCGCGGGCGGCCTGCGGGGGCGGGGCCAGAGGCGGGGGAGGTGCCACAAGCCCGCCTCAGCCCCGCCCCCCCGGCACCGAGCGCACGCGAGCCAGACGCAACTGCCGCGCCACGCCGTGGCTGCCCCCTCCGCCCCTCTGCGCCCTCCTCTCCCCGCCCCTGGCCGAACGCGCCCCGCCTTATGGCGCGTGCGCAGAACCTTCCGCCTACAGCAGCTTCTGGAGGCGGGCTGGGGGCGGGGGCTGGGGGCGGGGGCTGGGGGCGGGGGCTGGGGGCGGGGGTTGGGGGCGGGGGCCGGGAGCGGAGGGCTGAACCATTGGCTGCGGAAGCGAAGAAGAGGGAGGTGGGCTGCTGTCGTGTTTAACCTGCTGTAATAACCTAACGAAAATTCGTAATTGCCCACACCAGCAGGCGAGCTGTGTACGTGGGGACTACCCTAGCTCAGCCTTAGCCCTGGGGGAGGGATGTGTACCCCCAATCAGCGATTACTGCGTGATGTGTGCTCGGGTAATAGGGGAAAGGGTGTGTGGGTATACAGTCCTGGAGGGGCTAGCACTTGGGTAAGGCTGCAGCCAGAAAAGGACTCCCGGAGGGGAAACACTTAAACTGAATCTTAAACAATCGAACTTTCCTAGAGAAATAAAAGTAAGCCCACTTCGAATCGCAATCTGGGCTTGTTTTGATTTGATTGTGGGACGTACTGCCAGGAGTGCAAGGAAGCAAGTGCTTGGCGAGGTGGATGGAAGGGAGAGGAGGTCCCTTTAGAGAAAGGCCCGCTCTGGGCAGCCACACCGAGTCGCTTGCATCCGATTCTGCTAAGAATAGAAAGCGATGCGAAGGGGATCGAGGCGATTTTTTTGGACCTCAGGGACAAAAGTTATGTTGAGCATACTCTTCAGCTCCTAGAAGAGCTCTTTTTAATTTTATTTTATTTTTTCCACTCGTCCCCTCCCCACCGTCTCGTTTCACTACCGGCCATGCGCACCCTCTCTTGTATGTTTCCGTCCCAGTATATGTGTATATCCTCCAGAAAGACTGCTAGTTTCTGTATTGTTTTTAAAACACATGAAAGGCTTTGTGCGAAGAACTCGTTCTGTTTCTTGTTTTTCCCTCAACATAACGTCTTAGAGATTTATCCAGGCTGCGATCTATATATTCTAGGTATTCATTAGTCCTGACCACTAATAGCATTCAGTTTGTGCATCTAACGCATTTTACTTATCAATTCCTTAAAAAATGGAGAGTTAGGTTGCCAACAGTTCCTTGTAACCACAGACAACACCGGAGTGAGATTAGACGTGTCCCTGATGGACCATTAGAAAGAAATGCAATTGCCCGGTCATGGAGTCTGCAATGCTTGTTTTCACTCTGCCAAGCTGCCCTCTAGAGTGGCTTTCTCAGTTCGCCCTCCCACCAGTGGTACATGAAGACTGAAAGATTGCTATTTTCCCACTTCATATGCTAACATTTGGTATTATCTGATGTCCTAATTTAAATCACTCTGATATCACCAAAGTAGTATCACATTGTAATTTCATTTAATTTTATTGTTAATGAAGAGATGTTACCCATTTTTCTGTATACTGAAGAACCACTGAGATTTTTTCCCTTCTGTGAATTAACTACATCCTCTGCCTATTTTTTGGCTAAATTTCCTATTATTTTTCTGAATGAATTAAAGGAGTTTCCTATATATTCTAAATTCTATTCTCATGTCAGTCTTGGACAATGCAAGTATTTCTCCCAATCTTTCACATGTCCTGATAGCTTGGCCTTTGCTATCCTACAGTATAGGGGAAATCCTTATTTTGATGTAAAGAGATGCATTTAATTTTAGCCTTTAGTGGAGTGGGGTTTTTGGGTTTCACTGAAGAATCTTTTCCTACTCAAAATATTGTCCTACACCTTCCCCTACTTAATAACTTCATACCTTTATCTATCACAGTTAGGTCTTTTATTATTATTATTATTGATTTATTTGACAGAGATCACAGGCAGGCAGAGAGGCGGCGGGGTGGGGGGGGGGGGAAGCAGGCTCCCTGCCGAGGAGAGAGCCCAATACGGGGCTCGATCCTGGGACCCTGCGATCATGACCAGAGCTGAAGGCAGAGACTTTAACCCACTGAGGCACCCAGGTGCCCTTCATAGTTAGGTCTTAATTCATCTGTAGTTAACCTGGCATATGGTATGACCAGGAATACAATATTCTTTTCTTTGCATAGTGAGCCAATTTGCCCAGCAGTACCCACCAAACAAACCATCTTTTCTCCGCTGATGTGTAATGGCATCTCTGTCCTACACCAGGTCTTAATAGACACACATCCCTGTTTCAGGGCTCTAACTACTGCTCTGTTGATCTAGACCTGTTCCTTATACCAGTGCTACACTGATTTTCTTGCTACGTCTTTGCTATATGTTGTATGTTTTTGTTACATGTTATATGTCCTAATATCTAGTAGCGTGAGTCCTTCCCCACTCCCCTCTCTTTTTACTAAGTATTGCCTCTGAAGTTCAAAACAAAAATGGTCAGTGGTTACCCCATCACTAAAATCCAGGTATTCCGATCCCTGCTCCATATTAAGGAAAAAGGGGGAGGTTGGAGAGATCAGGATGGAGAAAAGGCAGAGACGTGGGGGAGGTGGTTTTCCTTAGCAATACCTTGCATCCTCCCTTGCCTGTCAATTTCTGAAATTGTCCTCTTTCCCCTTGATTTGTAACTGATAGATCATATTTGTAAACTTTATCCTGTTTCAGCTAAGAAGTATTATCTCATGTTTAGCTTTTGTAACACCATCATTTGAGACGTGATGACATTCTTAAATGACAAATTGGTTAAATACACAGATATAGCTTTGATGTTGGCTGCTACAGGGCAGGAGACTGATGAAGTCAGTTTGGTGACTAGACTCTGTAACTGTTGTGCTTACTATCCTGTGCTAGAAATAGCCTACCCCAGCCTGGCTGCCAGGAAACCTTGGTTTCAGTCCCAGCTCTGCCAGTGACATGCAATGGAAGGAGTCTTGCCGCCCTGTTTTTCTTATCTGAATTGTTTTCTTATGACTTGTCTCAATGTATCCAAGAAGCAACCCCATGAAGTACAGATGAGATGCACCACTATTCCAATACTATAGATAGTGAAAGTGAGGCTCAGAGAGGTTACATGTCTTTAGGCATGAGCACACAGCTAAGAGAAGATAGATTTATTCATTTCATGTATTCATTCAACAAAAGCATGATGGTTAAATGCATGGACTTCTGAGTCCAACGGCCTGGATTGGCTCTGGTCAACCCCCTAGAATCCTGGCTCTGCTACTTCCTGCTGTGGGCAAGGTACTTAACCACTCTGTCGCTCACTTTACTCATCTCTGAGGTCAGAATAACAGTAGTACTCAGCACAGCCTCTTAAATGACTTAAATGAGATAATATGTATACAACGCTTAGAGGAATTCCCGGCATATACCAAGCATTATTACCATCAGTGTTCCCCTGTCCCCGGGCTCAGAAAAGATTTAATACACTTTGTGCTGAATCTATTGATTCTTGTGTTTGAATCTGTTGAATCTATGATTCTAGAATAATATTCTGCCGGAAAAGTCCAGGTCCTTATCCCCCCGAATCTGTGACTATGTTACCTTACTTGGCAAAAGAGGCTTTGAAGATGTGCCTCATTTAAGGATCTTGAGATGGGGAGATTACCTTGGATTATCCAGGTGAACACGATGTAATCATAAGGGTCCTCATGAGCAAAGGAGGGAGGCAGAAAAATCAGCACCACACCTTGAGAAAACTTGACCGGCCATTGCAAGCTTTGAAAACAGAAGCAGTCCACAAGAAGACAACCTTTAGAAGTTGGAAAAGGAATACAAGAAATAAATAAACTCTCGTACTGCCCTTCGATGGGAATGTAGCCCCGATGACACCTTGATTTTAGCCCACTGAAACCCAGATCTAGCTTTTAGAACAGTAATAAAATAAATGTGTGTGCTTTTAAGCCACTACATGGGTTGGAATTTGCTAAAACAGCAAAACTAAAACTAAGCAATTATCCATATAAGGAAAATGTTTAAATTAAATGACTACTTCAGATCATATGTAAAAATCAATGTCCTGTGAATTAAAAACCTAAACAAGGCTCTCTGGGCTTGGACCTATAGGTATCCCCTCCGCTAAAAGCACCAAGAAGGTCAGAAACTGTCAGAAAATAAACAGGATGCATGAGGGCATCTCCCTCAGGAAAATGGTGAAGAAAACAGAAATGAACTAGCACACCAAATGCATTTCTTCCTTCTGTGGCAAAACCAAGATGGAGAGATGAGCTGTGAGGCTCTGGCACTGTGGCTCCTGAAGGAAAATGGCGCACGGACCTACCTCACCTATCCCGCCATCATGTGATCAGTTGCAAGACCAGCTGAAGGTAGCCTAAGCCAGTTCATTAGGTCACCGCGACAGCAATAGCAAAACCTAAACGCTAAAGACAGATATTCCAAACTTTTCCAAGAAAATACACAAGGGAAGTTTTATGACATCCCAAAGACTGGGCATTTTCTTAAACAAAACAAAATACACAGGCTATAAAATACAAGATTGATAAATCTAATGACTCGAAAATTCAGAACTGGTATTCATCAGACGAGACACCACAAAGACAGTGTGACAAGACAAACGATCGACTGGGAAAAGATATTCATAACAAATTAATCAAAGAAAGAATGCTGCCCAGAATTAAGAACTCCAAAAAATCAGTAGGAGGACAACTGATAGAAAAAGGAGCGAAATACACGAACAACCACTTTACAGAAGGGGAACCGCCCATAAA